TTCTTCGACCTCAACAAAAAAAATCAAAGTAATTGGCATTTCCAACTGATTTTTAATCACTTATTCGTTTATTCATCAATTGAATAAAACAGTTCCCTGATTCCAGTTGCATTACCACTGTCAAATGATTTAAAAAATTGGGTGTATGATCATTCCACTATCTTAAAACAACTGCCTAACGATCTTCTGAATTCTAACAGTCTATTCAGAACAACGTTAAGAACCTGTTCAGGATGTTGACGAACCCACTCGCGTATGGCTTTGAATATCTCGATTTCAGGAGCACACAACGAATCTCGTTGTATCATCAGCTCAACTGCACTTGCGGATAGTTGTAGAAAGCCCTGCAAGTGATCTAATAATACTGAGCGTTCATATGAGCTCAAGCCATTCAAGCCAAAGAGTTTCACTTGAGATAATATCCAACACAGACAACTCCAGCAATTCGATCAATGAGCTGAAGCTTCATCTTAAATAATGAAATACTCACTTGTGTCGCCAGAACTTCGGATGCGTGTTTATCAGCGAAGTTCAAACAAACATCTGACAGCGAACGCAGTGAATAGAGATTGGCCGCTTCATATATGGTACACATATTACGAATATTTAATATTGCCTGGAAAGGACGTCGATATTTTCACTAACACTATGAAAAGAACTTCAAAAAGTAAAATCGTAGAATCCTGATGAAATACCAATACAAACAAGAAACTGAAAAAGTCTAACGTGACACAATATAAAAACACTTTTGAATGAATTGGTCGCAATGCACGAACCTTTAGATATTCCGAAATACTCAACTCAAGTTCGCTGAAGCCATACTTGTGTGCAAGTCCGAGCATGTCAAGCACTAAATCTTCTTTCAGGGAACTCAGAGAGAGTTTCCCAGTGTAAATGTACCTGGAAAAGACTCATTATGCAATTACCTCTAATCAAACATGGCAAGTTTTTAACCTCAATAATTGAGAACATAACCATAATCGAGTTAGAATGAGCGTTAAAAAGACATTCGAAATGATGAAATACTAACTTCAGTAACATCTTGAAACCGTTTACAGGAGTATCGACCAATTCAATTTCACTGTTTCGCGATTCCCGCATTCCGTTGAATAGTAATGCTCTAAAGTCATATTACTTTATATCAAACATAACGTAACCACAACGGTAAATTACAAAAATATTCATTGATTAGAATTTAAGTGATATGACAGTTAACCGTCTGAAAGGGTAATCGTTCAGACAGCAAAACTGACCAAAACATCTAAAAGTTCTAAAACTCGATAAAGATCATGAGTGGCAATATATGCTTTCAAACAATAATAATTTATCGTTTGAAAATCTAAAAATTTGAAAGGAAAAGCAAACCAAAACAATGCGCATACCGAAAATATTCGCTACGAGCCGCCAGAATAACACGGTGGGCAGGAAAAGCAACACCTTCGACCTGAATATGAATTCAAAAATGAACTGTCGCATTTGAAAGTCGAGTAGAATTGGACAAAACAAGTATATTTCAATAAAACGCAAAAGTTTCCTCTGATCTTGTATAACTCCTCAATTTCCAGTCACCATCATACCACGTCGTGGCACTTGAACCGACGAAACTTAATTCGGTTCAAGAACAGATATTACGGGAAACGATTGTAACGGAGAATCACTCATTGTTATCGTTTGGAAATGGAATGAAATTGCTAACCTTTAATGTAACATCACTGCAGTCTGCTGAATTACACAAAACACCAATATTTTCGGCCAGATATATCACGTGCTGGATTTCGCCATTGGCACCTGTAATTAAGCAAATGATCACTACAATAATACAATTACAACAATAAGCGCTTTTATCTGAAACAATTGCAGGATTACACACAGGCAGTGAACACAACGAAGTGACAATAATTGCGACAAAATAGCCACCTACCAGCAGCTGGTAGTTTCGAACTACCAGCAAGACTGTGTGTTGATGATCCACCAGACTGAAGTGGCAGAAACGATGCATCACCATGTAGTTGCGGGTGATTATCGCTCATTTTCGATGTTGTCTGTTGTTGTGCCGTGCAAAGTGGGACAAATTTTGCGACGACGACGTCTCGTCTAAATTTGATTCGATTTGATTTACCAGTGGATGAGACGAATTTTTTGCACAGCCCGTTAGATGACGTAGCAAACGTTAAGGAAAACACGAAGTTTCGAATAAACCACGGTACTCATTACTCATCGTCCAATTAAGACGCCATAAACGGTGAGAAGTTCCGTAACGAAACGCACAACAAAAGAATAAAACAACTGCTTGCGGTGAAAAGTTTACAGTGAAAATTGAAATTTCATTTGAGGAAAAAGCACAACCATTATTCTACAAATCGAACAGAAATTGTTGCAATGAAATTCACCCAGTGAAGCAATAGGAACAGCTGACTTCACAGAGCCGGAAGGAACAAAAAAAGTGAGGAACAACGAGACAATGAGCATGAATCAATGCGGCATAAACACACAGATAACACCGTCAAGCAATCGAAATATTTGAGATAGTCCGAATAAAATTTCATGATAAACCCTTGTTATTTCTCTGAGCGAGGAACAGGAATAGAACAGAGTAATTCAAAGGGCAGAATAAAACAGAACGGTCTGAAAATACGGAGGGCGCTGTAATAGAACAGAACAGCAGACGGGCGGAATAGAATTGAACGGAAC